AAATTCACCGTATACGACAGTCGTAAACCGCCGTATTTCGTCGTAATACAACCGCCGTATACGGCTGATGTATATCGCCGTACATTGCCGTATACGGTCGTTTACGACCGTATCTATTGGACCTGGGGAGAAGCTACTCACAAAAGTGCGACTATTCATCTAGATTCATTTCAATATTCAACTTTTTACCATATTCGATTAAATGTCTCAGTACTTTCGTGTAGAAAAGCTTTTTTTAGACAATCACGGCGATAATACACCAGTGAGTATGGTAATAAATATATTTTGGCACGGTACTATGAAGAAGAAATAGTGTATGCCCAACATGTTTGCTCGTTTATTTTTAAGTAAAAACTCGACATATTAATAAAAACCAAATTATGCGCTCATATGAAAATCTTTGCGTTTCTATCAGTCGTACTCCTCTACCCTCGGTGTTCTCTCAGTTTGTCCCAAATTGACTTCTCAATTCATTCCAGATCGCTTCAAAATAAATAAAGTGTTGTACCATCGAATAGTTTAGTCGACGGCGATGGTATCCATGATACCATATGCATATTCTTTGACTACACGGAAAAATTTCATTGTCTACACGAAAGTACTGAGACATTTAATCGAATATGGTAAAAAGCTGTATATTGAAATGAATCCACAGCGCCTGACCTGCGATTTCGAACAAGCCACAACAAATTCTTTTGTCGATATTTTTCCATATATCAAAATCAATGGCTATTTCTTCCATTATGTTCAATCGTTGTGAAGAAAAATTCAGGAAGTTGGTATGATACATCATTTTGAAAAAACAAATGACAATAATAATGTAATACCGAAGAAGTAACTTAGTCCACTATTTAATCGTACAATCCTCGAGAATCCAATACCTCGAAAAGCATCTTTATGTTCTTGTTGTCGCTTTTCAGCTCTCGTTGTTTGTCCAATATAACTGTTTATACACCCACAACAGTAATATATATCACCGTACGCAAGAGGTACGGACAATTATATTAAAGCTAATTAAGTGTAAAGTAATATGGGACGAACTGAGAAAAAAAGCTTCGGGGGACGAATTGACAAGTTAATTTGGAACGAACTGAAAGTAAACCCTACCCTCAGACATAGTCACTACGCCGGAATGTTAGCCGTTCCTGAACAATTGGATGGATAATTATGATATCAATCAAAAAAATATGAATTGTGCGATGAATGGAACAGTTGACTCAATATTAAATAGGATATCGATAGCTGTCGATATTGTTATCAATGCTAAATCGTTCACAATTGTGTGCACAAATTATGAGAACGAATGTTTTCGAAGAATTATAGATTTTTACTAAAAAAAAGGCTCCCATTTAAATGCTGAGTAGTTTTTATTAAATGCTAAGTAAAAAGTTATTTTTTTTCTAAGTAATTTATTAAAAATAATTATATCTTTTGAGAAACAAGTAGAAATATGGTTTAGTGGCTCACCCTCATACTCTCCACACAGCCCCCCTCACCGCTCCCTGTCACACAAAAATATAGCTTACTAAAGTAGAAATTAAGTTAACATTTAATAAAAACTACTTAGCAAAAAAATAGTAGTTAAAAAAAAAATATAATTTTTTACTATTTGTTTTTTTTTTCACTTTATGTTTAAGTTGGATGTGTTCATTAGTTCTAATAATTTGTGAACACATACAACTTAATACGTTTTACTAAATGACATTATCAAAAACTCTTAATTTGAAATTTGGTTTTGAAAGATCCAAATTTTAGAGACCAACTTGAGAAAACCGAAACGAATATTAGATTCGTATCAACATTATGAATTTTTACAACAACAAAAAACTAGGCCAGTAAATAAGTGATTCTTCCAGTGTAAACCTACCAGATATAAATGGGATGACACAAATGATTCCATATGAATCGCACAATGTATAAAATATATTTATTAATAGAAGAACAAAAAATATCACATTATATATCACACAAAGGAGGTAATTTGGTTCCTTCTAACGTACTCACAAGTTTTCTAAAACGGGGATCGGTTAAAGCATGTTTTTGAATTTCAGTTTGTTTACGTTGTGCACTTTGTTTTCTCATTTCTTTATTTTGCTTATTACGTAGACTCTTTGATGAATGGGGAGCAAAATGAATTTCCAACATTACCGGTTGTTTCTCAAGAAAATTACGTTTTATCATTTCATTATTTAATGCACAATTTATATCACTATTCTCTTCTTTGATAACACTTAAATTTTCATTAAAATATTGTTCATAATGATTATTAATCTTTGGTAAAAAGCCTGTTTTTGATGATGAATTATTTAAATCTAATTTTTGACCAAATTTTGATGATAAATTTCTTATAGTAAATTGATCTTCAATATTTGTTGACTCATTTTTATACCACAAACTTCGACATGTATCTCGATAAGATTTATCTGTTATAAGCCATTGTTGTCTCTTTGTTAATAACTCATGTTGAAAGACGTGATCATTGTTCAAACGTCGTCGAATATCATTTTGATTTTCAGATGTAATACGATCAAGACGTCGTTTTAATTCTGTTCGATAGTCAGATTCAGATTTAAGTAACATTTCACTGTATAAACTCGGTAAACGATTAGCTGTCGTTGGTTTTCTCTTACGTCTAAAATTCGGCAAAATTAGACAAAAATTAGTATTTTTGAATTATAATCAAATGTACTTAGATATAGTACAGAGTAGTTAGACAGACTTACCGTCTTTTAATTGGTAGTACCATAACTCTTCTCACTAGACAAAACCTTTTTCCTTTTTTTAATGCAATTGATTCAATGAATAAAACCCAAAAATGTTTTTTTTTTTTCATATATTACTTAAATAATCCACATAAAAATAAGAATTTAATAGCAACCGTCTATAGATCCATTTTTTAATTTATATATTCTGACATTTTTGAAAAATGTTTTCATTGCCAAGGAATATTATACAAATAGTATATTAATAAATTATTATGAATAAAATAATAAAATAACTTTACATTTTTATATAGAGAGATCGAAATGGAGAAAGAAAGGAGAAACAAAATATATTCTTCTTCTTATTGTTTATCTTCGTGTATAATATAATACGAAATAGAAATGAATTTAAAAAGAATGTCTCAAGTCACATTTATATATTAAGTTATAAATGTCTTTCAACCATCAAAACTTGAGGTACATCTTTTGGATATACAATTATTGATACTGATTGTCTTGCACAATTGAAGAAGAAGAATTCATATGATTTAAGTACTAGTGATTCTTTTATAAACAGCTTACATGAATTTATATCATTTCATTCATTATTTTGTAATTATCTGAATCAATCCTCTGTAGATAGTTAATGCAAAATGTACGGGCAGGGTGGTAATGTGGTCCAATGAAGCCCGGTAGCAAAAAAATAGTTTTCGAGAAAAAACGCATTTTGTACCTAGGCTACTTTTTTCACGGCATTTGTCGTAAGGCTCGTATCTCCACAAAAATTCATCAGAAAATTCTAGGAAACACCTCATTGTGAATAAAATACTTTCTTCTATCAGACTATGGGAAAGAAAAATTCTGAATGTACAGAAAAGGAGAGAAAAGTTTATGAAATTAAAAAATTGAGTCTTTTAGGCTTTAAAGGAAAAAATTAAAAAGCTTATAACTTTTTGAAGAAAAGTCGTGGAGTGCTGAGAGTCGTCTCATTTTGTAGCCCGTACTTTACTCTCTTTGGCTTTGCACAGCACAACATCTGAAATGTTTTCAAAGAAGAGGGGGGCTATCCGTAACTGTTGTTCATGCGAGAACGAATGTATCTGCTATTTTGTATTTTAGCCGCTGCATCCATCGGTAACTACGGTTGTTCTTAGTTACAGAGAATTTCTGTATTCAATCACTTTACATAATTTTCTATCTTTCATAGTCTCTATAATTTCTATCCTATAATTTCTGAGTATTAATTTGGTACTACTTTAATATTCTTAAATCATTCAGCTTTTAACCGATACAGAATATGGTATACAATCGTGTACGAAAAAAAAGGCACAACTGTCGTCGTTAAAGTCGCAAAAATGTAATCATTCTTCAATATCAGCCAAAACAGAAACGAGGCAGCAATTGGTTTTAATATGGAAATGGTTAGGTGTATCCGTACCATCAATCATATCCAAGAAAAATCTGCAAGATATCATCAGACTGAATTTGTCTAAAAAATCTAGAACAGCAAGAATTTCATCATCATCCACTATGTCGGATGATCCAAGATCACATATGACTTCAGCACAGAGTGATGATACATGGTGATTGTTTAAAAATGCGGTTCGACTACCAGCTGACAGATCAACAGTTTTGCCAACAGCAAGAACAACATCAAGAATCACATCAGATGATGACGATGATGATTTTGGACTACTACCAAAAACTGAACTTCTGGTTCGTTTTGTATCAATCTAAAGTTTATTTTTTCTCTTTCTTTTATACCCTCGTCACACTCACTCAACTATTGTCCATCCAAAAAAAGGATGGTATATGGGTATTTTCTGAATAACTTTTGAATAGTAAAAGCTAGAGAACTGTGATTTTCGTATATGGAAAGAGGACTCTATAGAGCATAGTTTTTTAAAACG